AGTCTGATAGAGTGCCTTCGTCTCAACAGTCTGTTCAGAGAAGTGAGTTGTTTTCTGAGTCATGATGTCTGCTGAGACACACAGAGAGCTTCAAACTGTTAACTACTAAACAATCAACCAACTTAATAACTATAACCCTTACAAGACAGACAGCTAAAAGAAAATAATAGGACGTGCAGTATGCCCTCAGGTGACTCATATGTTTGAAAGGAGGATGTGAATGGTGTGAATGGCTTTTATATTAAGACTACTCAGAAATTTTATTCACTTGGTTTCATGTCAGATCAGCAGGTTCTCTACAGCTTTGGCAATTTTATTCTCTTGTTAATTGTGTGAATACATTCAGTCCTACAAACACATAAAGCTTTGCCAAACTAGAGGAAACATGCAGCATGACTCTGTCCTATCATTTTGGCTTCATGTAAGAGAAGAGGCCTTTTTTCAGTGTCATGGCATGCTGTTGTAATCCACTGTCTGAATAAGTATATCTTCTGCTGGATATTCAGTGCTTCTAAGATGGAGCCAAGGCAACTCATTTTTATCAAGATTAAAGGATTCTGAGATGTTATTGAGCATCCATTCCCATGGTTACTGCAGAAGTGCTGTACTTGCAGGCAGACTGTAAAGAAATATTTAATGATTGACTAGTTCAAACAAAGTTTTTTGAAAGCCCACAGTAAAATTTAATGGAATTAGCGTAATTTTTTATATGCAAAAAAGTGACTGTGAAAAACAGCAAAAATGATGCAAATCCTGCAGTCTGTTCTCAAAGAACTGCCTAGCCTCACCCAGAAAGTCTGCAAGCAGGGATAAGTATGACAACCTGACCACCTACTCCTGTGCTTCGACCTCAGAAAGGAATGCTTTCTCCTTCATTTCATTCAACAAAAGGTTAAATATATTAGAAGACAAAGATGGACTGTATCTAGAGTGCTTCAAATTAGTCCATTTGGTTTCAGTTCTGATTTAGAAAGATGTCTGAAAAGATTGACTCTTCCAAACTTTCATCTTCTGCTGTTTTCTTCCACATATTGCTAGTTCCTGAATTGGATGGTCCTATTTGACATAGTCTAAACTCCTAGTACCTATTCCTTGCAGAAAAGCTTGAAGGATAAATTTCATTACTCAAAAAGTAGAGAGAAGGCAAATCAGGATTTCTTTTTGCATGTCGCTTATTTCTGTTTCTTCGACTTCTAGCATTAGCAGTTGAGAAAGAGTTTAATATGGAAACAGTTCAGCTGATAACTGCTTAACCTTTTCTAATTCTGAGGAAATGTCATTTCATGGAGCATTCCTTGTGTTACCTAGAAAATCACAGCTCTGCAGGGCATAGTTGCACAGTGCTGCAGGTAAGGACCAATCCTGTCCTCATGAGAGAAGTTTCATGCTTTCACTTCTAATCTTGTGGCATCTCTGGGCTGCTCCTGCAGACAGCTCAGTAGGACTATTACTGAAGCTGCAATACACCATGCAGTCCTGTCTCTGATCCTGTGTTGTGCTGCATCCTGCTGGAGGAGGACTCTCAAACAGGGAAATGACAGCAACGCATCAGGGCCTGGGAATACACTTGTTCTACTTTTTGTAACTCAAGTTTTGGCAAAGGAAGAGCTCTGTCTCAGTTTACAGCCTGGCTTGTTTCCCCAGTGAAATCTAACCCCCTTCAAAGCAAAGAGACAAACTGTTTACGCAAAGGCTCTAAGAGATATTTTTGTATGAAGGGTAGCTTAGTGAAGTAAGGCCTGTGCATCAGCAACAGGAAGGTTTGATTGCTTAACCTGAGTGGTGATAGCAAAGAAGGGATTTGCTCCTGACACTGGCCCAACACACACTCATATGAGCTCTTATCCTGAGGCAGCAAAGGTTTGGGTCAGCTCTCCTTGGGCAGCTTGGAGCAGCACAGCCAATGGAGACATAAGGTCCAGGGGATCATAGAATCATGGTATGGTTTGGGTTGGAAAGAACCTTTAGAGATTATCTAATCCTAGTCCCAGGCCCTAGACAGGAACATCTTCCACTAACAGAGTTACACAAACTCCCATTCAAAGGGTCTTTGGACCAGGCAAAATTATCAGTAAGAATTTACCTTCTACCTTGTTTCAGATGCAAACAATAGAAAGAAAAAGCCCCTGACAACAAATGCTCTGATGTACCAAATAAATAGAAAAGTATTTTCAGGTTGAAGAGTGAAATCAGGGTAATTTTGCTAAACATTCCATGACCAGGGATGCGTTTAAAAACCCACAAGACTATAAAGTAATCAACAAAAGCCAGTAGAAATACATTCATTTGTCATCTGGTAATTTGTAATTTAAATACATAGAAATAAAGCCAGTAAAACTGGCTGCTAAAAGCTGTTGAAAAATTTGTTGTGACATTCTGAGTGTGGAAGCTCAGACTTTCACCTTGGGGCACTTGGACAAACAGTTTGTATTTGAGTAAATCAAGGCTTCTGGAAAGGCACCTGGTTCTGTTAAGACTCCAGGAGAGGCAGGAGAGTCTCAGTTCCACACTAAGGATTAGAATGAAAGCTAAGTTCCACACTAAGGAAAGATTTTAAAGAAAAAAATGAGTTTCCTTCATTGCTAAATATGACCTACTTCAGCATTAGGTTTTTTCACAAAAATACATTGTAAAGCCATGAGAGACAACGGCTGCAGAAGACTTAAATGATTGCAAGTTACTTCTAGATTGCTTCTGACTCATTAGACAGATATTTGCACTTCTTGTTTTATGCAAGCTTTTCACTTTTGCTCCTCGCTTTTCATACATGTGTCCTCACTGACTTGGAGTTCACAACCTGGAGATATCCTTTATTAATATTATACACCAACTATATCTTAAATTAGTGTTATATACTAATAGATCAGTGTATCTGCACATTTTCCAACTTACTCATCTTAATTGTTTCCTCCAGTAGGGTGTAAACAGCACATCTTGATCTATTGCACGTTTGACTCTCCTCCTATATTACTGATGGATCTGGGACATGGACCAATGTGCTATGTGGTAGACAGATCCCATCAAAGAGAATAAAAAGACATTACTCTGCAGGTAATGTGTTGTAAACACTGTCTAACTTTGCTCTTGGTGGGTCAGCGTTGTGCAGTTCAGTCACATTTTTGCATTTAGTTATTGCTTGGTGTTCAGTGGTCTGGCACAGACAACGTGGTTGCTGATGACTGATTTTTGGCTTACAGATGACACAAAATCTCTCCCTAACTATCTGCTGCTGATCTATAGTGTGGAATAAACATAACATAGGCTGAAGGCATATTCTTATTGGGAAATAAATTCTCATCTCATTATTCAAGTAGATTTTCAAGCTCTCAGCATTCCACAACTTGCAAGGGCAGGAATTGCAATGTTGTTTCGAATGTGGATATTTGTCTCTGGCCAAGGTGCCCTGTTGGGCTCCATGTGACAGTGCAATCAAACAAAGCCTATGCTAGCAGAGGAATTTTAAATGGTTCTTTAATGCTAAGTTGTATAATTAACAATAGACTTGCAGTGCTGAGGGGGAAAAACATGGAAAAATGAGTGTTTGTCTGTTTAGAAATCTATCTTCATTGCCGACTGACAGATTTTCTAAAAGAAGAGTAAATAATTTCTGTCTGGATATTTGGAAAAAAGTTACCATACAATTACATGACAGCTGTAGAAAAGGGCTGGACTTGTTAGAAGCACCTTCAGCTCAGACAATATCCAAGCAGCTGAGATGTACCAAATCACCTCTGGTCTGCTGAACTGTACTGCTTGCCTGAGTCACCACAGTGAGAGGTAATGCCCCAGAGAGGAGACAGTAGGTCAAATTTCACTGCAAAGCAATGCAGGCCAACTTTAATAATGAGCTATAAAAGTCATGTAACTTTCCAAGAGGCAAGAGCAAATGGCTCCACAGGCAGTTATTAATAGCCAAGTGTTAAGAATTGTTGTTAAAATTGTTTAACTTTGCACACCCACAGAAGATCCTTGCATCTCAGTCTCTCTTGGTAGACGATGAAGACAAGAGCTCATGGAGAATGAATTATCCTATCTATTTTAAATACCATTGTACAAGAGATGAATGGAATATTAAATATTCCTAGACCTCTCCACTGACTCCAGTGGTTACGCATATGAGAAGTTCAGGTGGAGGCATGGGTAAATGTAGTCAGTGTTTATTCAGAGGAATTCTGGCCATGCTACCTTGGGAAAGCTCCTTAACTACTTAAATATCTGAACCTTCAGTTGCATTGGAATTTCTGCTTCAGATCAGATCAACTCATCTGCAAAAATAACATTCTGTATATTTTGCAAAGACCTGTCCACGAATTGGAGAGCTGAACATAGGTATGTACTGTAACTCACACACCCTCCAAAATGCAAGAGTTAAAATCCATAAAACTACTACTACAAGTTCATGTTGATTGACAGAAGTACTGTTTATTAGGTCAGAAGGTACCTACAGGATAAAAATAATTTAGTAATAATCATGCTCTGAAACAGAATTCACTTATTCAAGGATTTTAAGAGCTTTTCTTTGACTTGGATTTTTTCTCCAGATTATGCACTTTAGTTTTACTTTCAGAAACTCTCACACAGACAAAGCATGCACAGTTTTAACCTTAATTCAACTGTACAGCCCATGCACACACATAGGACATATGTTTCACTGCAAGTGAGACCTGAACTTGCGATCACTGAATGAACATGAAAGCACCTTTGGAGGTGCAGGATCACAATCACAAGCATCTATGAATGTGCTTGTGTCATAGAGTCACAGAATCATTAAGGTTGGAAAAGACTGCTAAGATCGTCTAGCCCAACTATCAGTCCATTACACCGTGCCCACTGAGCCATGTCCCTCAGTGCCACGTCTCCACGTTTCGTGAACACCTCCAGGAATGGTAACTCTGCTACTCTCCCAGGCAGCATGCACCAATGCCTCACCACTCTTTCTGAGAACAATTTTTTCTACGTATCCAATCTGAACCTCCCCTGCTGCAATTTGAAGCCGTTACCTCTTGTCCTATCTTGTCATTTCTGCTTGTCTTCCTGTCGCTGTCCGGAGGATCCTAGGACTTGCAGGATACAGCTACACCATTTGTTTTCATAGCAGGAGCTTAAACCAATTTGTGTCAAGTCTCACCTATGGTTTATGTGTTCTTGGATCTGTGCTTTAATGTGTTGCTAACTCCAGGATATTACATCACCCACAAGCAGGCATGATAAATAATGTGCTGACCCACTCTCTCAAACTCCCAAATCAGAACCTGATCTCTCACTAATCCAGCCCAAGATCATCTTCTTCTCTTTGGTTTGTTTGACTCTTCAGATGTTTCTGAAGTTTAGAAGATACTATGTAAAAAAAAACAAAAAACAAAAAAAAAACAAAACACCTTTATTCAACAAATAGATCAAATATCATCTTTGCCCTCTCTCTTGCTCTAACTTGCTGTATGAGTTAGAGCTATCTCACCTGCATTATTTAAATGTCTGTTTCATGTGACCCCAGCATTCATTGAAGGAAGTAAAGTGGCAATCAAACAGGTGGCTTTTAGGTTTCGAAGTTATGTTGAGATAATTCATGTAGTCTGGGAAAATTATAGTGAAAAATAATTGCTTCCTACTTCTATGATCCCTACAGAATAGCTAGCTATGTAAAAGGTCTGAGGAAGTGGTTATCATTAAATCATTTGATAGAGAGGATTCCTCCATCCTCCCTTTCCCTGGGCTGCCATGTGAGGGATGGAGACCATGACAGCTGGTGAATACAAGTCACGTCCTCACCTGTGCAGCATATCAAAAGGGCCTAAGGGGTTTGCAGACTTGAGGATGTTTCACTCATCATGGGAGAGAAGGATCTGATCACCCCTGGTCGGTGCAGAGTGGAATGCCATAGACCTCTTGATACTCCTATAAGGATCTGGCCCATCCATTTTTCTCCATGCTGTGTAAGGAGAAAGCAGTGTATATCTGGGTGTCCTTGAAATATCTTCCAGCACACTGCACAACCACGGTGTTACTGCAAGCCAGGAATTACATGACCTCTGCATATCTCAGGGAAACATTTGATACTGCCCACATAACCTCATTGGCATGGATAGCACTGCCAATGAGCAGCCAAAGTAGAATTCCAGCTCCTCACATAGGAGCAGTGCAGCAAGTTGGAGACCTGAGAAAGGTACTGCACTGCTTTTCAAGCCTTCTACACCCTCCTTGATTCTGTCTTGGGGAAACTGGATACTAGAGAAATTTTTTTCTCAGAAAAAGTGGTAGAGCACTGGAACAGGCTGCCCAGTGAGGTGGTGGAGTCACTGTCTCTGGAAGTGTTCAAGAAACGTGTGGAAATGGCACTGAGGGACATGGTTTAATGGCTATAGTGAAGAAGTGTTGACGATTGGACTAGATGATCTTAGAGATCTTTTCCAACCTTAATGATTCTATGAATCTGTGAACCATTTGGTATGTAGCTGTCTTCAGGGAAGACCCTGAAGATGAGCTGAGCCAGTCATAGAGGTTGGGCAGCACTCCTCACAGCCTGTGGGCTTCTCTCAAGCTGAGGAAGGCCTCTCTGGACTAAGAAAGTCTAAATCAAATGTTTACACACTAAATACTTGTTTGCTCTGGGCTGCCCCAGTTGGAGCAGTAGTGAATTCCTGAGACTGGACTTGACCTTCCTTGGAGACAAGCATGCCCAATGCCTTTGTGAAGCCAAGATCTCTGTATGCAGACTAGCTTTATTATATATTTCTTTCCAAAATGTGGTCTTTTTTTTTTTTAATAATATGCAAAACACATGCCATATCACAAATGATGGGATAGATTAAACAGCTGGTAAGGAAGTCCCCTCTCAAGGACCAGTTTAAGAATAGTACTTAAATAGCATAAAGGCCATTGACCAACAAAAGACTTTTTGAGCTCTTGTGCCTTTTTATGACTCCCTGTTCACCACAGTATTGAACAGTAGTGAGGAACTGAAAAATATTTGAATGCTATAGTGAACACTTATTTCTGTCTTCCATTACAGATGATAGGTAGACATCAGATGTAATGATAAGGAAACATCAGAGTTGGGGGAATTAAAGGATTAGTGCTTGGTTTGTCCTGAACCCCTGTGAAAAACTTCTTTTAGCATTTATTATTTGTCTTGCAATACCTAGATTAGACTACGTTAAGCACTGGTAAAAATAAATAATAACTCTGAGTGTATGAGGTTCACATCTGGAAATAAGTAAAACTGAGTACAGGTCACATGCAGGCACTCTGACATCTCTTTCCAGAGTGAGGTTTTGGTCCTGATCTATCTACATTCAGATCTTGCTCCATTCTGGGGCTTGATTCTGAAAAGTGGACCTCAGAAGTGCTGTTGTGGAGGGTGCATTAGAAAGGAAATACAACGAAACCAGTCTTGTAGAAACAAAGGAGGTAGCATTTCATGGGAGATGTATGCACTAATAATAGGACATAATATATAGTGCCCCCAACTTTGTTAAACTCCTGGATCAGTTTTGAGTGCTGTATGATGGAAAGCATGGCAGAGGGGATCCATACCAGAGTACAGTCCCATGTCTTGGTTGTTGGTTCATATGCTTATGGATAGTAATTAGAGGGAAGCAAAATTCTTTAAAAATGTTCAAAGGAAACAAACCAGCTGTTGATGTGTGCTAGAAATACTTGTGTGCATTCCTTATTAACATAGCACCATGCGATGCTGGGTCATGTGTGTGGCGCGAAGGACTGAGGTCATGTAAATAAAAGACTGGTGACATTCAAAATACCTTTTCTCATTGTGCTAAGGAAGCATTACTTAAGGAATAAATCACTTTAAAAGCTATCAAAATTTGCAAGCTGATGCATTGAACAGCTATGTTTTTCCTTAAGAAAGAGATGTAACTTTCCTTAAGTAAGTCAAGATCAATTACACTTTGGATTGCATCACTTTGGATTGCACTTTCCACACTTATCAAATATGAAGATCGTCTTTAAAATGAGATCTGAGCTAAGGACTGGGGGAAGAAAAATAGCAAGCAGCAAATTGCAGTGTGTCTGTAGCCTAGTGACGTGTATCCTGTGATGCAATAAGACTGCATCATAGAAGGAAAAGTAATTCAGAGTGGGATGGAACTGGAGGTGTGAGAGTAGCAGTAGTAACTCCTCAAGGAGAAATTCAGCTGATTTAAAAATAATAGTTGCCAGGCAAGACAGAAAGTCTTGGAGACAAGCAGGTGGCTGCAGCAGATTCTTGTTCGAAACGCTAAGGTGAGGGCAAATTACCGTATTCTTCCAGTCTTTCTGTTTCCTTAGATTCAGAAGAAGCCTGATAAACATGTGGAAATCTCTTGTCTTCCCACTGAGTATCCTCTTTCATGGAAAAATGAAGCTGATATGCAAAGTGAACTACTTTCTCTTCTCTGAGTAGGGTATTGATGCTCCCTTTGCTCCCGCAGTTCAGGAGGTTACTCAGAGGTCAGATACTCTTATAAAGTAATTTGATGCCTATTGTAAAACATGATGCTCCTCTCAGTTTCTTCAGAGCTCTGAAACATTCCTTCTGCTTCTCCACTAATGCTTGCAGCCAGTTGCCTCTGGTGAGGAAGGAAGGGATCAATTCTCAAAGTAACCAGATTATGTCAGAGATGGGAATAGGCAGAAGTAGACAAACAACAGCCAGAATGATCCATCAGTCATTCCCAAGGGGCTCTTCACAAATAGCTTTGATGTACTCTCAGTGCTGAAATTTATGGGCATTGTTAACAAACAAAGCTCAAGGCATTGCTAGAGGAATGAAGTGTTTTCAGTTACTGTACACTACAGGCAAGCCAACAAGCAAGCCATCAAAGCTTTTGCAGACAATTAGTTTTAAACAAACTGAGTGTAGACTTTTGAGACAAAAGTACTTCTGTTATTTGATAGGGAAAGATTAATCATACCAAAGGTTTGATGGCTGCAGTGCACAAATCTCCACCTGAGCTTCTCATCGTGAGCTCCTGATAGTGTCAATGAAAGAAAAAATGCACAATTTAAAATATGATGTATATACTGGATTTTAGATGTAGACTTTAGAGTGACATAATAGCAGATGAGGTGGCCGAGTGGTTAAGGCGATGGACTGCTAATCCATTGTGCTCTGCACGCATGGGTTCGAATCCCATCCTCGTCGGCAGGCAAATCTTTATGAAACTGAATGTGTACAAGTCTATGGGGCCTGACGACATGCATCCCAGGGTTGTGCAGGCTGATGTGGTTGCCAAGGCACTCTGCATCACATCTGAAAAGTCATGGCTGTCAGGTGAAGTCCCCAAAGACTGGAAAAAGGGAAACATTGCTCCCATTTTTAAGAGGGATAGAAAGGAAGACCTGGGGAAATAGAAGCTGATGAGCCTCACCTCTGCATGACAGAATCAGTGGACAAAGGAACAGCAACTGATGTCATCTACCTGGAATTCCGCAAGGCCTTTGACGTAGTCCCACATGATATTCTTATCTGTGTATTGGAGAGAGATGGATTTGGAGGCTGTGCTCAGTGGAAAAGGAACTGGTTGGATGATTGCAGCCAGAGGGTTGTGGTCAACAGGTGGAGGCTGGTGACAAATGGTGTTTCCAGGGTCCATCATGGAACTAATGCTCTTCTACATCTTTATGAACAACCGAGGCAGTGGGATTGAATGCACTCTCAGCACATTTGTAGACAACAGCAAGCAGAGTGGCACAGCTAGTGCAACAGAACTTCGTAAGGAATGTCATCCAAAGAGACCCGTCACCCAAGTGCAAGGTTTTGCACGGGGGCAATCTCTGATATGAGCACAGTCTGGGAGAAGAACACACTGAGAGCAGCACTGCAGAGAAGGATCTGGAGGTCCTAGTGGATGGAAAGCTGGATATGAGTGTGCCCTTGCAGCCTGGAAGGCCAACAGTATCCTGGACTGCTTCAAAAGAAGGGTGGCCAGTAGTGTGAGATTGTCTCCCGTTGCTCTGCCCTTGTGAGACCCCACCTGCAATACTGCAGGCCTGGGGCCCCAGCACGAGCTGTTGGAGTGGGTCCAGAGGAGGGACACAAAGATGATTAGGAGAGCTGGAGCTCATCTCCTACGAAGAAGGATTGGGTGAGTTGGGCTAATTCAGATTGGAGAAGGAAATCCATGTGGAAATGTGGAAATCTGCGTATAGCCTTTCAGCATCTAAAGGGAGCTTAAGAAGATGGAAAACAAAATTTTACATGGTCTGATCTTGATAGGACAAGAGGAAATTGTTTTAAATTAAAAGAGGAGAAATTTAGGCTAGATGTAAGGAGGAAATTCTTTACTCAGAGGGCTGTGATGCATTGGCACAGAGTGCCCAGAGAAGCTGTGGATGCCCTAACCCTGGAGGCAGTCAAGGCCAGATTGGATGGGGCCCTGTGAAGCCTGTTCTGTTGGAGGGCTGCCTTGCCAATGGCAGATAGGGTGGAAGTGAGTGGTTTTTAAGGTCACTTCCAACCCAAGACATTCCATGATTCTGTGATTCCATATTCTATGATTCTATGATAGTGGACACCCTGATATGCCAAATTGTCATCACTGTTGAGGTAAGCCAGATGAGTGTCTCTGACATACTCTTCTCTATCTTTGATCACATGAATCCCAACAAAGTAGTAGTTCATCCTAAGAATGCTTGGCCTATGTGAATTTCCAGTACTTCTCAGTGATTATAAATCCTCTGCCCCAGGGGATCCTGGTTTATTTCAACCTACAGGGTTTGACAGTCATGTCCAAGTATCTCATTGATCTTTTTGACCTAATAATTCATGACCTTTGTCTTGGCAGTCCCAGGCAGAGCAAAGCCTGGTTGGAGTTTTATGTCTATTGGCCCTTTGAGAGAGTGTCTTCTGAAAGCAGATTTCTGTTTTGGACTTCTGTTCTATATTTTCGTATCTACAGAGATGTCTGATACTACTTCTTTCTCTTCCTAGTAGTAATATTTCCTCACTCTGCTGAAACAGATGCTGACAGTAGAGTATCAGCCAGTAAAGATCTGAGGCCCTCAAGGATAAGGTCCCCCCAAGTCTTTTCATCTTCAGTAACATGTTTTGGTATGCACCAGTATGTAGGTGACTGATTTCCATTTTGCCTCTGCTATAGATATCTCTCACTCTCCTTGGCTTTCTCCTTAAGCCCCTTCCCATTTCTTTCAATTTATTCATCATCAAGAAGGGCCTGAGAATTATCCAGTAGCTCTAAAATCAAGGTCTGAGAAGATGCTCCCAATTATTTCTATCCTATGACTTCCTCAGGTGCTTTCCATTACTGAAAAAAGCTAACATTTTTGACTTTTCATTCCAACCTGGAAAAAAAATTATAAATCTGAAATTTTCTGCTAGAGAATTAAGAAGGAAAGTTTGAATCCCACAAATCATATTTTCAAAGGGAAGCTCCCAGTCTGGATATTTTTAGCCTCAACTTAATTAAGTCTATCTCCTTATTCAGTTCTTACTTTCTTCACTGAACTTACTTGAAGAAATAGTGGGCTAAGAGGGTTTATTTTACCAGCGTGTTCTATAACACTTGCTAATTTTGGTCAAATAGCTTTCCTCCAGATCACGTGTGGGTAGCTGGTATAACCAGCAGGGTACATATTGTAACTATCAATTTTGAAGCGAGTGCAAGTTTTTGCTGTTATGATGTCTGTTTGGCAAATGGTTTCTGGTCATAAACTATGCAGTAAAAGATGGAATTGCCTTCTGTGTTTGTGCAATTAAAAACTAATTATAAGACTTAAAAAGTTGTTGTTGTAATGCCAAGTAATGACCTTCTGTGCATATTCCAGCAATGAGTATTTTCCCTGTATTCCTTTTTATTTGAACAAAATGATTTTGTTCTTCTTAATGTCTTTTCTGTGGCAAAGGTAAGGAATTCTAGATGCATCTCTGGTGTAAACAAATGTATGAAAATAAGGAACAAATTTCTTTCAGTGAGTTTGAAGAGCTTTCATCCAGCTAATAGAAAATATGGAGATGAAGCTGTAGGAAGAGCACTACAGGTTGGAAAGTGATTTTGTTCTGTGCATATGTTAAAGAAAGCAATATGAATGCCTATTTCTATATGCTCAGGAGCAAGAAAGAGGGAATTTTATGTTGTGGACAGTTGAACACAAACTTCTTAACTATTTTCTGTGTCTGAGCTATAACTGGTGGAGTGCTGCCCTGGGGCTCTGAGGGAGCCAACCCCATGGAGACAGTACAATCATCACCTTGCTTCACCTTTGTCCTGGCCTTCTAAAGTTTCCTGAGTGAGCAACAGCTGCATATGAGAGTAAACTCTGCTTGTGCCAAGGCTTGACAAGCATCCTCTTCCCACAGCACCCTAAATAGGGACCTCATTGCCAAAGCACCTCCAACCTACTTTCTTCTTCCCTTCCTTTCCTGTCTAGTCTACTGTCTGTACCTGCAGTCCTCAGGGGAGACAATTGTTGTGACATCCATAGGTGAAATAAATAATTATAAGACCTTGTAACTTGTATTGTTCATGTTTCTCAAAACATTTCATTAGTGTCTGTAAGTTGGCATCTCATTTTTCCGAAGCAGACATATCTGAGGCAAAAAGGAAAAATAAGGACTGTAGTTCAGTATTTGTTCAAGACTTTAGATGTCTCACTGGGTCTTAACCAGGCTTTAAACATTTAGTCTTAACTGGTTGCATGTACTATCCCTGTCATTATGGGCCACCTGAGAGAGCAATTCTTAACGAAGACTGAGTAAGGAATCATTGCACCCAACTTCACACATCTCCATTTGGACTAGTTTCCTTTTGAGTTCGGTTTCCATGTTTCCTTTTGAGGCTGTAGAGAAAAGTAACATACAATTCATTATGTCTACTGCAGCATGAGATAGACTACCCCTATTTTTCTCCTTTGATCATAAAGATTATTCAGTGACAACTGGCTTGACAATTTATAACTGTATTTTAAGAGTTGATTTTCATCCACTGTGATAAATGCCACTGTTCTCTGAAGTTAGTTCTAATACATCAAAGAGTCTGTTTGCTGGCCTGTGATGTACATCTGTACAGGTTCTGAATCAGCTGCAGGGTACAAAAGAGACTAGTATTTCTGGGGTGTAACTTGTAGTTCTTACGGATTCAGCTAATGTTGTAACTTAAAAGTTCTACAAAGTTGTTGACTATGACCTTTTGTCATCCAGGACTTGTGAAAGAGGATGAGGAAGCAAGAGGAAAGGACCCCGCTGTGATAGGGGGGTTGGAACTTGATGATCCCCGGGTTGCCTTCTAACCCAAGCTATTCTATGATTCTATGATTTTTGTGGTCCTGGCATTCCTCAGCATTACAGTGAGTTTTAGAGCCAATTTGCTTTGGCTAAGGAGGACAAATAATAGGAAAAATGAACTACTGTACAAGAAATTTATTTGCTGTGACTACTGAAAGCCACATCTTCCCACCCATCATATTATGGTGTAATCTCTGAAGTGAGACAGGCTTTTCCAAACTTATGCCATCAGGTGAAAAATGAAGCTTCCTCACTATTATTCACATTACCAGTATCAGCCTTCAGTCCTGCTGCCTGTTTTGGAAAATAGCTTTTGTTGGATAGGAGCTCTATCTAGTAGTATGAGTCTGACATATTCCTTTTTAATTTATTATTTTATGATTTTGTGTGATAAAATTGAGTGCTTTTCACTTATTACCTTTTTCAGTAAATAAGACCTAAGCCACGTCTCTTAATTAAGCAGTACAGAAAGTGGCTTGTAACTCTGTAAGACACCTCATCTCTGCACAGCCTGCTATGTGAGGCTGGGATGACTTATGGTCATCCCAACCTTGCCCACGCAGCCACTGGGATATGTGTCTTCCCAGAATAGTTAATCTCAAATTCCATTTGAGCCCCTCCTGATAGTAGCACTAGAACTATGCAGTCATGCCTCAAAGGGCCATTTTGATTTAACTAGAGAAACAGAGAGATAAAATGTAATCACTCCTTCCTGATTTAAAAAATAAAAAAAAAAAAAAAAAAGACCTCTCTGAAATAATTTTAATGGAATGGGAGGATGAGTATGTTTGAAGAATAATATCCATTTGGCTAAATTAATTATTGAGATAAAAAGTTCTGATGGAGCCAAAATAAGCAAAAACCCAAAGCCTACTCAGTCTGTGAAAAGATACTGGTTTTGATTAATTTGGATGAAGCCGTAAACTTAAACTGTATGCAAAACTACTCTACTACATATCCACAGTTAGGAGGCTGCTCCTGGGGCTATTCTCCATCATGTGGCTGTTTTCTGCCATGAATCCCATAAACGCTACAGCCACACTTCTAATATGGTGTCACTTTGGAGGATTCCATAGATCCCCTTGCTTCCTGCCAGCAGAAGCAATTCTCCAAATTTCAATTGCACCACTCTTCTACAATACGAGGACACCACAGGTATTAGAACCAATGTGGTTGTTTTATTCATTATAGAAGGAGAAAAACATTCACAGAAAAAGAATTCAATACAGAATCATTAAAGGTAGGCATGAAAGAGAGCTCAAGAGATTACCTGATATATCTTCTTGCCTCTTCCTGTGCAGGGGCAGCATTAACTCTGTCTCAGCTGTGGATGGATGAAATCATATCCATTTCCAAAGGACTTTTTATATATACACATTTTCTTGTTTTTTCAATCTTTTATTCTTCTCTTAATTTCAGCCGATTAAATTCTGTTAAAAAAACAAATAAATGTGATAGGAAGGAAAAAGTCCAGAAAAAAAAGAAAGGGTTACTCAGAGAAAGTGCACTTCTCTAAATGTTATCTGTTGAATACAAGTGGAAGGAAAGATGTGCCATGTTCTGCCTAGAAATAATTGATATTTCTGTACTGGCTATTTTCAGAAACACATCTGTGAAAAATGGACATGCTCTGCAGTTCCTGGTATTCAATCCAATCTCATGGAGAAGTCTTGACTTCAGTAACAGATTACTTGTGCCACATTTCCTCAAAGAATTCTGATGAAAGATCCAAATGTATTGCTGATGAGTTTTATATGTATTCTCTACTGTCTGCATTGTTGTAAATGCCAAATTTCTGCGCACAGGCTATTAGCAATGTAAAATACACACTGGCATAGTTCTCTAATGCACTGAACAATTTACTAGTGTGATTTATGAGGGAAAATTTTGTTTTCATTGGCTGTCACTGTGTTTGACCGTGCCTTTGAAATACTCTGAACCTCATTAGCTATGAAGCATTGTGCTTTATCTACTTTTAAAATATCTAGACAGACATCTATCTAGACAGTGCTGAGAATAGAAAGAGACGGGGCAAGATTACCCTCATTTACTTACATAGGCGACTTTACTGCTTCATGCAGATCCGTAACCATTCAAACATGAACATGATGAGGATATGATGAAAAGCAGGGCTCTTCTATGCTGGTACATTAACTGAAAAAAAACCCAGACTTCTTTTCTTCTCATATTGTGTCCTACCACTATGAGAGAAAATACTGAAAAATGTTGCTTCTGTTCCCACTCTCTCCAGTCATTCGAGTTTCATGGATTTGAATCCTCACTGCAATACTTCCATAGGGTAATAATTCCCTGCTACCCAAATTCTCAAGGATATTTGATATCTACAACCCTCTAGGCAATGCAGGCTGCCATTACGTGTTATTGCCTCTCCCACAGTTTATCCACTTACCCAGACCTCTCAGAACTTATATTTTTTTTACCACTGAGCATTTCCAAACCTACATAGAGTGCCCTGCAGCAACCTGCATAGGCTACTGAGCCATCAGATAAGAATAGAGGCAACAAAGCTTTATTTCCTAAAAGTGCAAAGTACTTGGTTATATAACTGTAGTGAGATGGAGGAATGTGAGGAGAAAGGATGGGAGCAGTGGGGCACTGGACGCAGAATGGATACCTAAGTAGATGGCCTAGAGTGAAATAGAAGATAAAGGCCTGTCTAGGAAATGCCTGTGACTCATTAGCCAGATATATTCATAAATTGCCTTCACTCTGAGACTGGGGGGGGGGGGCTGAAATTTCCTAGTATATGATCAGGGTTGACAAAGCTGAGCATAAAACCCCATTTACATACATTTGAAGATTTATCCTCCTGCCATTTGTACACCCTCCAGCTGAACTGCTTCTGACCCAGTGATGGGGCAACCAAACTCACTGTGGGCCACGGCATGTGTGTCCACAAAGGGACACTTAGGGACTGTGCAGGATGGGAGAGCTGTTGTGAGGGTTACAAGGAGGTGCTGGCAGGTGGCACTCGGGAATATTTGGGAACACTTGGGAGCAGGAATTAATCGGATTTTCAAGGACAGAAAGAGTTCTATTTCCATTACTTTCATTTTCTGTGGAGGAATCAGAGCTCCAAGTGGAATCCACTTCTGCTGGTGTAAAGGGAGGCAGCTGATTGCCATCACCAAAAGACCAATAGCAGTGGTTACATTCATCTGTTGCTAGATCAGATAAAGCTGAATGCCGAAACAAAGTGATGTTTTTTATGCAAGTGCTGTCACTTCTTGCTCAGGTCCTCACTGGCTGAGCCTCCAGGCACCAGACAAGGGTCATTTCTGTACATGTCTGATAGTCCTCCAGTCTTCAGACCCAGACTCTCTTTTTACCATGTTTTCCTTGAAATTTAAAATAATCTCAACATCAGTTCATTATATTTAAATGTCTTTATATAGGTGATTCCTAAATAAAGTCATTTCCCTCTAACTTTCTGGCTCTTTACTGAGAAATTTTGAATCTGTAACACTTCGCCTCTTGCTAGTTGCAATAACATCTTTTATTTTGCCTCTTTTCACACTTACCTGCTGACTGTATCCCAGCAACAGCAACCAGGGGTCTGACTGAACTTCCATCGTCTTCTATTGGCAAGGGGAGGAGCAGGGAACAGTGAGACAGTGTATTTCTTTCTCATTTAAGCATAATGGAATTTACATATGCAAAACGGCATACTTAAGAAATACGCAAGCCCACAGAAACAGGTTTTTCTTATGAAAGATGAAAAATGAAAGATTGCTTTGTAAATTGAGAAACTGAGCAAAAGCAGAAGCTTACATTTGACTTTTGACTATGGAAAAGTAATAAACAGAATTTATATACATCAGCCTTCCCCAGCTGAAGTGCTGTCACTGTGGCATTGTTCCATTTAGTGAGTGATGGGACACAAAGTCTTTCACTGTTTGAGAAGATTATGATAAACTATAGTCATAACTGAAGCACTAACTCTGGGAAAAGATTGATAGATAAAGGTGAATTTAACTTTTCCCTCCTCCTTGTCACATACCTTGTAGTGGCTTAGCATCTGTATCACTCTTATTTACCATGCTGGCTTTTATGCAATATGATTCCTACATCAAACTGAGAATTTAGGTGTTGGGCTCACTACCAGGTAATGGGGTAGGTATTTTCACTGATGGTGCTGGGATGCAGGATTTTCACAGTCCCCTTCACTGACCTTGCCCACTTGGCTTTAAGATGCTGCCATGCTGGGTCATTTCCAGGGCCTGCTTGATGCAATATCTCTTGTTTAGTAATAGAATCATAGAGTGGCTTAGACTGGAGATTTACCCAGTATAGGTTTAGAGATTACCTAGTCCCAGCCACTTGCTGTGGGCTGCTTGCCACCCACCAGCTCAGGCTGCCCAGTCCCCATGCAACCTGGCCTTGAATACCCCCAGGGATGGGGCATCCACAGCTCCTCTGGACAGCCTGTACCTGAGTCCTCTGTATTTCTCTCTTTTCTATTCTGATCTATCCTTTTAATATCCACTTTAAATTTCCTTCTAGAAAACAGAATATCCATTTTACAACCAGTACATTCATTCCTTCCAGCCAGCAGAAACCAGCTGCTGTTGCACAATTCATCTCTTCTGGTCTCTGGAATGTTTTCATGCTGCATTGATACAAATAAATAAACTGCAGTACACTGTATAAAACTCTTACTAAAAAAGGATTAGTCTTATTAAACAAAAGAATGCACTGAAATAGAAGAAGACTGTTCAAAATGCTTCACCATCATGATTAGTCAAAGTGCAATGCCAATATGGTTCCCTTGGCTTTATAGCTGATTTACCTCAGATGGAGCTACATTACAAAAATAAAAAGAAAAGAAAGGAATTTTAAATGAATTCAGCAATTTTTTATCCAACAATGCAACATTTTTGCATTTCACTTAGTTTTTGAAATATCCATGTTCTCTCTGAATCCTTTCAGAAGCTTTTCTCCTGGCATCTCTTGCACTTGAATTCAGCATTTAATATTCCATAAATCCACTTAGGATATAATAGAGTACTGTTTCACCTTTGAGGTCTGAGGCATAAGAAAGATATGAACCTCTTAAAGCATGTCTAGAGGAGGGCCACAAAGATGACCAGAGGGCTGGAGCTCCTCTCCTATGAAGACAGGTGGAGAGAGTTGGGCTTGCTGAGTTTAGAACAGCAAAGACTTTGTGGAGACCTTACTAAGGTATTGACCTTCCAGTACCTAAGAGGGGCCTACAGTGAAGATGAGGAAGGATTTTTTACCATGGGCTGTAGTGAGAGGAAAAAGGATAACAGTTTTAAATTAAAATAATGGAGATTTAGAATAGATGTGAGAAGGAAATTCTTTACTCAGAGAATGGTGAGGCAATGGCAGAGGCTGCCCAGAGAAGCTGTGGATGCCCCATCACTGGAGGTGTTAAAGGTCAGGTTGTATAGGGCCTTGGACAGCCTGATCTAGGCAAGGGGGATTAGAAATAAATGGGCTTTGAGATCCCTTCCAACCCAAGCCATTCTATGACTCTATGATTCTATAATGATTTAGATTTAAAAAAGATTTAGAAGCACCCTTATTCAATGTGTTGTGCACTCTTTCTTGTGCACTCATATTCCCTAGACACCTTTCACTTGAAAAGTTTTAAGAGCTTTATAAATCCACTGAGATTAATGATAGGGCAAAGAAACAGTTTTCTTTGACCATTTCCATCTTTATCCAAGGCTGGCTGCAGCATATGCCTCAGGAAAAAACAGAAAAAAGTGACTGGATTTGTCTGACTCCCTCATAGTTCCCCAAGCATTACAGCTTAACCAGTCACACAGTTATTAAAATTACTTTTGCTACTAACCTACAAGGCTGTGTTCAGCATGGATGAGACCTCAGCTGGAGCACTTGAGTCTGTTCAGAGGCAGTGATGCAGAATTACGGTAAAGGTCTTCCAATACATGGCAGGTTCCTATGAGAGAGAATAATCCTCAGGTTGGATAGCAGGAAAAAATTCTTCTCAGAAGGAGTGGTGAGGCATTGGCACAGGCTGCCCAGGGAGGGGGTGGAGTCACCGTCCCTGGAGGTGTTCAAGAAACGTGTAGATTTGGCACTGAGGGATGTGGTTAGTGGGCATGGTGGAGATGGATTGGTGGTTGGACTACATGATCTCAGAGGTCTTTCCCAGACTTGGTGGTTCTGTGATACTATGGCTTATTTCCATCCCATAATGGACATGAGAAGAAACAATCAAAAATACGTAGAAAAATGAGCAGATTGGAGAGCAGGGTGCATTTTCAATGACATCAACAAATGAGGAATGAACCACTTGCCTGCTTTGAAAGTAGGATCCCTTCCACCCCTAATAAATACATCTTCTGTCATTTGTCATTTTGCTCAGTTTTAACCACTTGAGCTGAAATTTCCCAGCCTGGGAATTCTCCCTGGACCTGAGGTAAAGCAAAACTTCCAACCCAACCAACAACAAAGTTTCAGTTTCCTCCAGTTCTCTGCTCCATTGCTGATTTGAACTGGAAGGACTGAGTTTGGGAAATCTTCAATCTCTGCTGTTCTTGATCCTCTGATCCAAATGGGAGGAACTAATTTAAAACAAACAAGCATTAAAAAACCACAGTTCTATACAAACACAGTAGAGACATTTGCAGTTGACAAACAGAAAGACTGCAGTCAGAGAGTCAGCCTCAACCTTAATGGCCTCTGAAATAAATGATGTATGCTCAGTCACTGGAGAAGATCATTTATTGCTACTTTTTGCAAGATGTGAAAGTCTCTCAAAACACCATAAATGTCTTGCACAGAGCTTTCCCCCGGTGCCTGAATAAAGTGAGAAAGTGATGAAAGTGTCATTCATTTCCTCTCCAAGAGCTGACATAGAACCAATCTCTGTCCCTTATCTCTGCAAACTTTAAAGACTCTCACTGAATTTGGAGACTAAGATGAAGCATAAGCCTTTGATATCTATTCAATCTCAGCGTGCCAGTGTCACTATGTTAACTGCTTCTGCTGCCACAGCACAGTATAAAGCTCCTACACCTTCTGTATCTTGTTGGTACCCTTAGGAAGAGAAGGCTGTTCAGACACTATTAGATTTCCCGAATGGGATCTGCTTGCTGCTGCGGTTCTTCTGGACTGTTTTCATTATGAAATGGGCTTTATTTCAGTTAAACACCTATTTGCAGCATGAACTAACTCCTCAGCCAATTAGTTTTAGAAACACTAATTAACAGACTGGAAAAGCATGCTTGTTTTCTGAAGTTTTTGCCATGATTTTTTCTGCTTTAGAAATTTAGAAATTTTGAAATTTTGAAAAACAGCAATGTTCTGAACACCAGGCAGGAATATAAGAGATTTCTGTATTGGAACAGTTATCCAAATACAGCCCTGTCCAGCCTAAACTTAAATTAATGTATCCAGAGATGGGGCATCCACCACCATACACCAGTCAGGTATCTGCACTTAAACATGGGACAAGATTACGGAACAGTAAAACAAGATAAAGAAAGCCAACCTCAGACTCTCCCCATCCAGAATTGTTCCTGACATTCACCAAAGAGCTCTAAGGTATTTGCAGCAACTGGAGAGCTCAAACAGAAGTTCAGGCATCACCTCCCTGCGTGGTGCTAGTTTGTATCTGACCCTACAGATTGCCTGAAGTCTCAGCCTTGGCCAGACTTGTTCCCCATGTTTCCCAGGGCATCAGCTATGGCCAAACTCTTTCCTTATCTCCCATCTATATTTGATATATTTGAATTTCACTTGCTGGTTCCTCCCTGTAATAAGAAGGCAGCTTCAGTGAATCAGACTGTTGTTATATGGGGCCGTCTGCTCTAACATCTTCCACTTTCGTATACTTTTTGGAGATAGATGTGGAGACATACAAATGTAAAGGAACTCCCTTGTCCTCCCAGCTGGTCCTGCAGCTCTAGTGCCATTTTATGATGGGCATTTCTTTTGCTTTACTAAATCACATGTTGTAAGATGCATTTATTGTACATACGCTGTAGGCAACCCACTGTCCTTCTGAGCTTTATCTCTCCACAGAGACTAAGAGCTACAAGCACTACTGCTGCAGATGGAGTTGGCCAATCTTTGTTCACTCCCACACCAACCCACACTTGTGTCGCAGAGGCTCACTGGTGATTTTTATTTATTGACCAGTGAGTGGGCTGTTGGAAAGCAGCTGAAGGGGTTTTCATAACTCTAGTCACTACCTGGGGGCAGGATACTGAGCAGAAAAGTCATTGGAAAAGGGAAAATCTGCATTATTTTTTCTTAACAGAGCGAATTAATGTGAATTAAGTTTCATATGCTGATTACCTAATGCCTGTGTGGTGGGGGATGCTGTGGAAGTTTGGAAAAGCCCATAGTAGTTAAGGACAAAAAAACAACTCTCAGACTGCAGCCATGCTGAGCATCCATTCAGGAGAGGAACCTACAGTATTTTTTCCACCATCTGAAAGAAAATGTTCTTATTTTTCAGAAATACAGTAGTCTTTGGAGAGACTCACAGCTGCAGTACTTTGGCTGCAGAGTTGTTATTTAAATGTTCATTAGCAGACATGTCACAGGGAACAACTTTCAACTAATTGTATATTTCAACTTTAAACTAATTGTATATTTTGAAGATGGTGCAGTGATTCCCAAGGTGAGCACATAATAGTGGATATAAACACATGCTGCTTCAATCCTCCCACTGCTTCTCTGGGCTGTGAGTGGTCTGTGAACAGAAAGAGCTTTGTAACTGCTTCAGATGGATCAGATGTGGGCTTTATTATCTGGGAAAGACTGCACGGATTGGTGCCACTGCAGATATCTCTGGCATGAATGATGTATGAAATTCAAGCAGACTGCTCAGTACAGTACAAAAAAGGTTAAATGGCCCTGAGGATGATATTCAGAGAGCATATAGGGGCACTTCAGCAGCAGGGTAGTCTCAAAGCCACAGAGCGCACCTGTCTCTAACTGGGGCAATACAATTTGTGCTTGTTTTCAGGCACAATATCAGGGGGTGACCAGGCACACAATTTGCTGATTGCCACTTCTGCTCTGAAGATAATGACATGCAACCTAGAGCCCCACTGCCTTGCATGGCTTTGTCCCATTGTGCTGGTGTTGTTCTCAGCTGTGAGTCATATCTGAGTGCCCAATTCATAGCACTCAGTCTCGTCAGGATGCTGCAAGGCTACACAGTTGTTTTCTTCAAGAAGCAGAAAGGTAAATCCTGTTGCAGCATAATTCTTGCTACTCAAGAAGAAACCAGAGAGAGAAAGAAAAATGTAAAAAGAAAATGGAAAATGGAAAATGGAAAATGGAAAATGGAAAAGGAAAAGGAGAAGGAGAAGGAAAAGGAAAAGGAAAAGGAAAAGGAAAAGGAAAAGGAAAAGGAAAAGGAAAAGGAAAAGGAAAAGGAAAAGGAAAAGGAAAAAGAAAAGGAAAAGGAAAAGGAAAAGGAAAAAAGAAAAAAGAAAAAGAGAAGAAGAGGAAGAGGAAGAGGAAGAAGAAGAGAAGAAGAGGAAGAGGAAGAAGAGAAAAGAGGTAAAGGTAAAAGAAAGACAAAAATAAAAAGGAAGTATTGTTTTCTGTCAGAGGCTTTGTCTTTGCTGTTCTTCTGAAAGACAAGTTTGCTCTAAGTGAGAATCAATGCATCTTCACTGCCTCTGAAGACTCAGATGTGTCTGCCCATGATTCCCATCTTCTGCTGTGTTCAGTGGCTCTCACACCTCTGACTATTCTTTGCCATCTTAGGCTACTTTTAAGTTCTGCATGAGTAGGTCTATCTAAGTCTTTCTTTCATTAGAGACCTGGAGATGAGGCAGGAAGCAGCCTCCAAATGAGTCAATTTCCATACATATTGGTCCCTGGCACAGCTTGAGGCCATTCCCTCTAGTCCTATTGCTAGTTACATGGCAGAAGAGGCCCTTCTAAGGCATTAGGTAGCTCTGTCTCATAGCTCAGGTGGAGGATTCTGATGCTGAACTCTGCTCCCTCCTTTGTTCTTGAGGCTTTCTTGCAGGTGACATTTGATTTTATTTTCTACACTGCAATAAATGAATGGGTCAGTGTTAGAACAAGGGAAAACTACACCCCTTCAGCTGTACGAAGACTGGTTGAGCATCTTCCAGGTTTCTGAGTTTCTCTCAACCACTAAATGCCTCATTTTCCCCTCTTGTCAGCACTAAGAGTAAATTACAGTGACTTTTCCCTGCTTTTTCTTATTTTCAGTGCAACTTTCTGCTGAACTGTGGCTGCCTTTGTGAACATGCTCAGAAAACACAGGATATCCAACTCCCCAACAATGCAGCCATTCTTCCTGTGCCCAGGAGCAGCCCATTTGTATGCAGAGATTAGAGAACATCTTCCTTCAAAAATCTATGTCCCAACATCACATTTCTCCATTTTCCCAAAAGTTAGCTTGCAAAAAGTGGATTTCCATACATCAAGTATGTTCCCTGAAATTACCCAGAAATCCCATCTCCATCTCCTATGGCCATCTCAGTCAGCACCTTGCTGGGGATGGCCTTTCCTACCTGGACAAAATATCTTACAGGTATGAGTGTGACTGTACAGAACTAATGTGTTATTAGATATGGTTCCACCAAGGATGGAGCATGGCGGCATTGAGCACAAGACACCATCCTGGCTTCATGCTCTTCAGATCTTCAAAGTAGATCTGCAAGTCTTCCCTGAAGAGAACATGAGGGGTTATGGAGGCTGCTTTTTTTAATATATGGGCTGGATACTCAAGAAGTGGGAAAGTGTGCTGCATTTTCCCTGCATTTTTGCTAAGGTAAGCTATGTAAAGGCTTTTTAAAACCTTCCAAAAATACAAACTCTCTTTGCTTGTTTGTTCAAAAACTGAATTAAGGAAGCTTACAAGACTTCTGCCAAATATGAGAAATTAAATTTTGTAATTTTATTCTGCCCTAAAACCAATGGCTTTGTAGCA